TGAGGTGGGAGAATTGCCTGAGTCTGAGAATGTTGAGGCTATAGTGAGCTGAGATCATCCCACTGCACTCCAGCCTGGAAAACAGAGTAAGACACTATCCAAAAAAAAAAAAAAAGGAGATTTGCAAACATGTACGATTGTGCTACTCTTCTTTTTTTGTTTTATAATGTATTTGTCATAAAATGTGATATTTTATTGATATTTAGTGGATTTATTGTTTTAGTTAGTAAAATATTTAAAATTTATCTCAATCTTAATTTCTTATACAATAAATATTAATAGATAAAACCCATAAAAACAAAAAAAATTTAAGACTTCAGTAATTGTTAAGCATATAAAGGAGTTTTAACACTAAAGTTTGAGAATCACAGGTTTAGACCATAGGAAGGAGATCTGGTGGTGGGGTAGGACATTTAGAAGCATGAGAAAGGTTTTAGATAACCCTTGATCATTAATTTTTTTCACATAACTGCACAGCATTAAAAGACATAAAGCTCTATTAGAGAGTTCCCACTGGTTGAGTTTCAGTTAAATGTGATTTTAATCAGTTTAGTCAAGGAAGTAGGATTGTGATTGACCTGAATTTGAATTATGACTGGGTGACCACAGGAATATTACCAAAACTCCTTGCCTCAATTTTTGCATCTGTAACATGCGTCTACATTAGCAGGGTTACTGTGAGGATAAAACTCATGTAAATTTTGCTCCAGTGTGTTTTGTGGACTAACCAGGTTAATAATGCGGACACCCAGAGCTTTGAATCATGATCTGCATTTCAGTGAGACCTCCAAGCAGTCCTTATGCACAGAGTAGTGCTGGTTGTAAGGCACCCTGAAGACTGCCTGCCTGTCACATAGTAGTTGCTCAATAAAAATCTCCTTTCTTTTCCTTTTTTTTTTTCATATTTATTTTCTATTCTTTGGCTTATGCATATGACTATTTCAGTCTTTTTGGACTAAAATTTAAAATATATCTGATGTGTTAACTTCATCTCTTTTTCTTATCAGTCAAAGTAATCCTTCTATTCATTTGAAAAGTTTAAAACTTCCAGAACTGCAGTCTAGATTCTAGAGTGGCTCTTTTCCTTTTTCATTAAAAAAAAATTTTTTAAAGCAACCACACTAACAATGAGCCCCATATTGGTGTGTGAGGAGACCAACTGCCTGTGTAACTAGATCTGTCCCTCCTTTTATGATAATTCATTTATTCACATAACACATATCAAATAATCAATATATGTACGGGACTGTGAATGACATTAGGGGAACAGTGTATGAAATGAACATACTTCTCACCCTTGTGATGAAAGAGACATTAAAGGAATAAGCCAAAACACAGTGTTTGTAATTCTCAAGAACACTTTGTGAATATATGAGTAATATATGCTTTTTTAAAAAATCTCAAATATTGGCCGGGTGCAGTGGCTGACACCTGTAATCTCAGAACTTTGGGAGGCCGAGGGAGGCAGATCACCTGAGGTCAGGAGTTCAAGACCTGCCTGGCCAATATGGTGAAACCCTGTCTCTACCAAAAATACAAAAATTAGCTGGGTGCAGTGGCATGGGCCTATAGTCCCAGCTACTTGGGAGGCCAAGGCAAAAGAATCAGTTGAACCTGAGAAGCAGAGGTTGCAGTGAGCTGAGATCGTGCCACTGTACTCCAGCCTGGGCGACAAAGTGAGACTCCACCTAAAAAAAAAATCTCGAGTATTTTTTTCCTTTTCTACATTTCATTGATTTTAAAAAGCACTTTATGTATATCTTTAATGCTTTGACTTCTACATTATCTTATATTATTGCTTATCTCACATTTTTTCACTTGCCTGCCATAACTTTGATGGTTGCTAGATTTTTAATTCTTCTTGCATGTGAGTTATTTTTTCCAATTGAATTTTTTTTTAATTTAGCATTGTGGTAAAAAAAAATGCACATAATATAAAACATACTACCTTAATCGATTTTAAGTGTACAATTGAGTAGTGCTAACTATACTCACATTGCTGGGCAACAGATCTCTAGAACTTCTTCATCTTGTAAGACTATATTGAAGTCTTAAAAGTAGGTAGTCAATCTCAGAGAAACGGGGGGAAATAGAAAGTTGTTTGTTGTTCAATGTAACTCTATATTCATTGAACAACAAACAATTTTCTACTTCCCCCTGTTTCTCGGAGTTTGACTACCTACTTTAGATACCTCAGACAAGTAGAATCACACAGTATTTTTTTTTTTTTTTTTTGAGACAAAGTCTTGCTGTCACCCAGGCTGGAATGCAATGGTGGGAGCTCGGCTCACTGCAACCTCCGCCTTCTGAGTTCAAGCAGTTCTTCTGCCTCAGCCTCCTGAGGAGCTGGGATTACAGGTGCATGCTATCACGCTGGGCTAATTTTTATAATTTTAGTAGAGACAGGGTTTCACCTTGTTGGTCAGGCTGGTCCCAAACTCCTGATCTTGTGATCCGCCTGCCTTGGCCTCCCAAAGTGTTGGGATTACAGGTGTGAGCCATCGTGCCTGGCCATATTTGTCTTTTTTGTAACTGGTTTATTTCACTTCATGTAATGCCTTCAGGGTTCACTCACATTGTAGCATGTGACAGGATGTCTTTTTTAAACCTGAATATGCCATTGTATGTATATATCACATTTTATTTATCCATTCATCCATCCATTCATGGACGTTTGGGTTGCTTCCACCTCCTGGCTGTTGTGAATAATACTGTAATGAATATGGTTATGCCTTGAGAGTGCTTTGACTCCAGATGTAGACACTAATCTACATCCAGGCCTGAACGTGATTCTTGATCATAAGAAAGAATTTTTGAGCTAGCATAAAGGGAAAGGTAGACCAGGTCAGGCTTCTGGTCAGACTCCCATGTTGGATATCCAGGCAACAGCAGAGAGATAGAAAATAGCCTGAATCCTTCAGAGTCCCTGTCTGAAAGGAAAGCACTTACTTGGGTTGAATGCTGACCATGCTGAATACTTTTGTGTCTGTTGATGGGGAAATTTGGGAGGTTTTCTGAATTACTATTATGAAAATAAGGACTATTATTTTCTTCAACTTCTCAACATCATGTATGACAATAATGAAAAATGATCACCAACATCAGGAACAAGCCTAGGAGGGGATCTAGCATGGATCCTGTTTGTATTATTTGAAAAGATGGTCAATATAAAATTGAATATATTCAAATTTCAAATATAATACAAGCTACCATGAGTTTGGGTTAGGATTGCAAGGAAACATGGGTATGTGTGGCTGACTGGGCAGAGACCAAACTCTCAAAGGGCACAAAAGCCCTCACCAGGATCTAACCTGATGTTCTTTACTCCCTAGCTTGCTGGTTAAAGAAATAATTCCTGCTGAAATCTAGTTTTTAAAGAACTTTGTTTCATACACAGACCCCAGAGTCCATATCTGGGCTCCCACGTCAGGCCTGTAGATGACATTCCTGATGAAATCAGGTCATACACAGAAGGAATGACTCAAGACCAATTTTACAGCTTCCCTGAGGACCATGAAAAATGCCTTCAAGGAGGAAAAGAAAAGCCATTACCAATTTGAGCCACTCAGACGGACTTGCATCAAGGATTTCTCTTAGCTCATCATTTCGGTCCTTAGAGAAGGGGAGGCGGCCATTGCAGATTCAATTTTTTGGTATCACCCTGGAGTTACTTTACTTGTAACATAGCAAATATGGTTACCTTAAGGTACATGAAAGCAGAAGAGGCACTAGCCTGAGAGTCAGATGGTTTCTAGTTCCACTGTGGCTACTTACTAGCTGGGTGGCTTTGGACAAGAGCCTGCTCCTCTTGAACCTCAGCTTACCTCCTATAAAACCCAGCCCTTGGGCTAGAGCAGCTCCATTCCTTTCAGCTCTGCCATTCTGTGCATGAATGACATCAGGATTGATTGCATCCATTCTACTTTTTATTTGGCATTTGTTCATTTGATACATATATACATATATAAAAATCTGTACATGGTAAAAATACAAAATAAGTATTTCTTTATAAGTTATGCAATTAAACAGCTACCTTTTTAAAGTTTAAAAGCCATTGCAAGAAAAAAGAGCGAGAAAGAAATCTAGTCAGTGCTTTATAGTCATTCACAATAACCTTGGTATAAAATATCCATACAACACGTGTGTACAAAATAGTGTACAGTTCATAAAAGCTGTGCAAAGACAGCAAAGTTCGGTTAAAAAAAAATCGAAGAGGCTCTGTAGGTCTCTCTGTCCACATCATGCCCAGTGCCCAGGAGGTTTGCAGCTCAGCAACACCTCCCTAGGAATAATAAAAGGGAACAAGGTAGAGTGCGTGGTGCATATAGCATGGATACAGAAATTAAAAAGAAAAAGCTTTAAAACAGACATACAGGAATAGAGACGGCTGCTTCTCCCCCTCTAGAGAATCCACTTCTTTTCCCAGAGAGCTTTTGGCAGGTGACAGAGAGGACTCAATATGCATGTTGTGCCTTAAGCCAGAAGGCATTGATAATATATATATGCATTCTTTTTAGAAATTTTTGAGGGGGTGGGGGTGGAGATGACAGACTGGAGTGGAATAGGAGGTCCTTGCTTCCTATTAGGGGAGGTAGAGGGATCTAGAGAGTCAAGGGTGCTGGAAACAGTTACATGATTTGGTGTTTTCACTCCTAACTCGGTTTCCTCCTTCATAAATAGATTTCCTACCATATAGAGTGGTTGCTGCTAACGACCAGCAGGGCCTGGCTCACGGGTCCAGGCTGCGGGACTGGAGCACACCCCGTTGTGTTTAAAATAGTTTATAATAAAATATAATGGAGCTTTTGCTGAAAGCAAGTTAAGGCTGGGACCAAGACTTAAAGTGAACTTATGTGGGGAGGAATATTTGGAGGTGATGCGAGGGAAGGAAATGTCTCTTTGGGGCCACGACAGGGCCTGTGGCGCCCTCAGCGAGGTGATGGTGCTACCGTGGGGAGAGGCAGCATCTGGGCACTGGGACAAAGTGAACGCGCAGACTGGACCCCACCTCTTCAATTTCAAAGCACTTAGAAACAATACTCGAGCCTGCGAGCGGCTTCTAGGACACGGTGATTTCCTCCTCCTCCTCCTCGCCCTCTTCCTCCTCCTCGGAGTCTGAGAAGTCTGAAGGTTTCCCGGGGCTGCTCGAGGGCGCGGGCGAGAAGGGCAGCGGCCCTGGTAGCCGCGGGTCCCGCAGGTGCGGGGGGTCGGGCGACGCGTGGTAGGCCAGGCGGTGGCAGGGGCTGCCCCGGCCCTCCTCCTCATCCTCCTCCTCTTCGTCCCCAGGGCCCTTCTGGCCCACATCGCTGAGGTCCGGGTGCGGATTGAGCTTGGTGGGCAGGGTCTGCTCGCGGCAGCCCCCGCTAGACAGGAGTTCGCGCTCCTTGGAGTTCCGCCATTTCATGCGTCGGTTCTGGAACCAGATTTTCACCTGGGATGTCCCCGCCGGAGACAGGAAGGGAGAAGCAAAGGTCAGATCAGGGGTCCCAGGGGACCCAAGGGGGCGGGGAGTGGAGTGGGGAGCAGGTTCTGTACTTCGGGCTGTGCCCACTTCCAACCCCTAGAAATGAGTCCAGGTGGATTCCAGCATTGACTCCTCCCCCTCCTCAGCTCGCGGTTCCTTTTGATTCATCTACTGCCACCCGGCCGCAAAGGGCGGGGCTGCGGGCCGCTGAGCCCGGGAGGGAGGGCTGGGAGTCGGGGTGGGGAGAGAAGAGGGCTGCCCCGCCGAGCGTCGAGCATCGAGGGTGGTGGCCCGTGTACTCACTCCCTCTCTAGGCCTCGATTTTCCCATCTGTACAGTGGGACCTAAGCGGTTTCCGAACCCTTGCAGTTGACAGGTGCGCCGGCGAGGGGGTGAAGCGAGGGGGCGGGGGATGGGTGCTGTGAACGAACTGCCCTCACCTGCGAGTCTTTCAGGCCCAACTTGGCCGCCAACTTCTTGCGGTCGGGCTTGCTGATGTACTTCTGCTTCTGGAACATCTTCTCCAGCGCCTTGCGCTGCACGTCCGAGAAGACTGCTCGACGCAGCATGCCCCGCCGAGGCTTCCCGCGCGCGGCCAGCGGCCAGGAGAAGGTCCCGGGGATGGGCACGACGCTGGAGGACGCTGCAGGGTGGGGGGAGGTGGCGAGTGAGTGGGCGTAACTCCCATCCCCCCGCAACGTGGCTCTCCCTGGCTTTTCACTCTGATCCTTCATCTCTTTAAAGCGCTGCTTTTTCTCCCCTTGGAGAATAGGCCACGAACCTACAAACCTGCGAGAGTGAAAGGCGCTTTCCGCCCAAATAACTTTCCCTTTCAACCATGCAAACCCGGATTAGGTAGAACCACGGAAACATAGAAAACAGCCCCCACAATAGCCTGTTTTGTTTTTCCATTCAGTGGACTCAGGGAAAGAAACTTGAGCACATTAGCTAAAACAGCAATAGAAAAAATAAATTACAAAAATAAAAATAAAATATCCAGCTGAAGCCACTGGGTTTCTCCCCTAAGCTTTTATCATTTCGGTGGCTTTTGCATTCTTTAGATGAAAATGAGGTGCTTTACTATTTTGATAAAGAGGGAAAAATCCGATTTAGATTTTTTGAAAAATCCAATAAGTATTCATCTTTTTTATATTAATCCTTCTTCCCCTCCCCCCACGAAACGTAAAGAATTCGGCCGGAATACATGAAAAGTGGCAGCTAATTAGCACATTGACTGCTTCCCAATGGATATTGGCATGATAAAAGGGGGGAGAGTTTCGCTTTAAGCGAAAGAAAAAAAACAAAACAAAAAGAAACAGAGACTCTAATGAAGCGTGAATGGTAATTGTGTAGTAATGAACTAACAGAAAAAGACTGAGGACAAGCAGCGAAAGCCATATATTACTGGGACAAAAGAGATTTACACTTTCAAACTAAACACAACTGCAGGCCAAGACCATTGGGAGAATACTGATGGCAGAGGCTTCTCTTCCCCGAATCGTTTTCATTAAATGGACATGAAAAGCTATTTATAAAGCTCGGGTTGTTTTTGTTAGAGCATTGAGATGAGGGAGAAAGGGAGCAAATTCCATTATTAGCAGCAGAGTGAATGGTGGTGGTGCTGGGTAGGGGGGTAGGTGGTGAATTCTCTCTCCCCCTTTAAAAAATCAATGGCTGGTGTCTTTCGCTAATATTTGGGAGTACTGTCGTGATTTTACCCAACCCCCACAAGCCATACCCAGTTCCCCTTCTCTTTATAGGGACTCCCCTGCCTCCTTTTGAGTTTTGACCAGTTGCAGAGTTTTTGAGCCATAGTTTAAATCACCAGTGAGGTTGCGGGATGAAAACCTGGTGGAAGCTGTTTAAGGTGTTGCTCCTTTAGGCTGGGACACAATTATGGGCTTTCTTCCAACTGCTTCTTATTTTTCAAGATCAACAGTATTTTAAAAGACAGGGTGGGAAAGGGGTATGAGAAGGGGTTGGGAAATGAGGTTGGAAATAGGAGGTTGGGATTGGGGGATGATCTAGTCCACCCTCCCTCTGGGCGACCCTAGGCATCCCACACAAGAGGGCACCCCATGTGGTCTTGTGAAAAGCCCGAAGCCCTGAATGAGTCTTAAAGAGAAATTAGCCCCGGCTGGTAGGTGTCTCTTGGCGGCGTGGAGCGACTAGGGTTGGTCTGTGTGTGGCTGCCTAGAGGAGCTGACCAATTGGTCATGGTGCTGAAACCTTTGTGGGGAATCGTGGCCAAGTGCACTGACTCTGTGGGAAAACGGCAGCGTGAAGGGATGCCAACAGCTCCTCGCCGAGAAGGGAACCGCCTCAAATTGGGACCATGACAATTCCTGCTAATTTGTAGAGCAGGGAATTGGTGCAAAGTGTCAAGCAGTCACTGCTTGTGCTAAATAGGGCATCAAATTGGCGCGACGGATTCGTGAATGTTGTACGCCTCGCAACCTCTGAACCAGAGCATAACCCCGAGGGGTGGACGGAGAAATACGGCTTTGGGGCAGGGAACGATGGGCCGGCCGGGGCTGGGGCGCCTCCCAGCCTCGCCCAAGGAAGCCGTAGAGACCTACCTGGGAAATAAGAAGATCTGATGAAAGGCTGAAAGGACCCTTCGAAGTAGGGAAAGGCGAAGGTCTTGGGAGGGACGCTGTGAAGCACGGCTGGGGATGTTTCTGGTGGGCGGTGGAGGGGGAGCAGAAAGGAGGGAGGGAGACAGAAAGAATCTGATTACGTACTTGCCTATTGTATAGCACGTTGAACACACGATATAAGTAACCCTTCATCTGGTTTCAAAGACATCTTTCTTACATATTGACAGGGTAAAATAAATCTTCCTAACATTGTCTTATCTGTAAAACTCTTTCCTTTTCCCCCAACGAGATTCTTTGCAGCATCCCACCCTACCCCAATCTTTATCCTAGGCACTAACGAGGTAGGTAGGACTCAGTGGGGAGGAAAGAAATTGCAGATGTATAATATTAGCTAATCAATAAGTATATCATATTGAGTTTAAAAAAGAAACTGCCTCCTAGAAGCTGCATGGCAGAAACACAGACGTCCAGGGGCGTGCGCTCAGCATTACCACGCCAGACAACTATGCACTGTCTCTGCGTGTGCTCAAGTTCATTCCGAGATTGGGGCTAGCCTGGGGGCTTTTCTTCCCAGGAATTGACTGGACTAGTCTCACATTGCCAGACGTAGGTCCTTAAAGTTTGTGCCTACGTGTGTGCACTGATATGCGTGTGGGTGCCTGCTTGCTAGAGGAAACTGAGGCCAGGAGGACTTGGCGCATGCCTGGCACCTGAACGGACCCTCAGCGTTGTGCCCTCACTTACCTGTTCTGGGCCCCGAGGAAAGAATGGCGTTCACTCCAAACTTCAGAAACGTGGGCTCGCTGGCAGGGGAGATGGCAGTTGGCGGAGAGCCGCCCCGCCGGCTGCCGGGACCCGGGGAGCCCAGGTCCGAGGCACCCGTGTCGGTGAGGGCCGTGGGGGCCCCCTGCCTGGGCGGCGACATGCTGGCGGTGGGCACGCTGCGGGGCAGGTAGGCGGGGGGCCGGCTGATGCGGATCAGATCCTCCACCAGGAAGCTGGAGTGGCCGGAAAATGCCGACTGCAGGGACTGGGGCAGCGTCAAGGTGGGGGTGGGCCTCAGGAGGCTAGGGTACCCGGCGGGGGGTGCGAGGAGCCCGGGGAACATCATGATAGGAGTCGGGCGGGCGAAATAACCCTTCTTTCAGTGGCCGGAGGGTAAACGCCTCGTTTCCCGCCCCTCCCGCCCCTGCAGTGTCCTCTCTCTTGGGCTTAGCAAACGTCTCCAAGTAACGATCCCACTTGGGCGTCTGCAAGTCCTCCGTGGTCCTCCCGTTGAGGTGATGGTTTTATAGTGGACCGCCTGCTAAAGCACTTTGAAAAGTGACAGCTCTGACAATGAAGTTCAACAAAGTTCTCCACTTGAGCTTCATTCGCTGGAGGCTCTGGGCGCTCTGATTGGCGCAGGGGTGCAATTTATGATTGGATTAGTCTTCATAAGCATGGCCCGCACAATGGGCGGACAACAAAGGCCCGCACGCATCAATTCTGCATATCGACCGCCTCTTTGCAATACAGTGCGCCCCCAAAGCTCTCGCCGAAGGTTTTTGTTCCGAAGCAACACTCGGGCTAATTAAATGCCTATTTAGAAGTTTCAGATGACAACTTGCCTCATAGAAAAGGAATTATTTAAAGAACGCACTAAATTTATTTGCAGCTCCCCTGCTAAGCCTGGAAAATAAATCAATAAATATTCATAGAAATACATCTTCAGGCTATCAGCAAAGTAACCGTCCTTCTTGTGGGGGTGGGGCAATGAAAAGTTTCAAGTCAGTGAACATGAAAATATACTCCCTCTCCAGTTTCTAGCCCTATCTGTTACTCCAACTGAAGAGTTAAGCAGATGTAGAGGTGAGCGAAATCAGTGTTTGAAGTCGCATTCTGACGACTCAGGGAGACTTGGAAATGAATGCTGTGGGGCCACTGGATGTGTGTCCGTAAGAGTGGGAAGAGGTCTGGAGTTACTTCATTTCGGGAGACTGGTTGAGTTTGAGAGTTGGTAGATACCTGAACAGTAAAACGAGCCTCCTTCAAACTCCCAGCAACTTGGAAAACTATTTTCTCTAGGAATTTCTGCAAGGGGCTCCCCGCACCTCACCTTGCGGGAGGAGCGGAGAAGAGCAGCGCTGGGCTGTAGAACCGCAGGATTCCGGTTGCGAAGGGCTTAGGCTGGCCGGAAGCTGCCTCGGGCAAGGGTGTCCAAAGGCTATGAGTGCTATGCTGGCCCTTCTCCAACCACAGGGAGCTCTCGGCAGTTTAAGTTGAAATTCACAGCCCTGACATTTTAAGCCAGAGCAGCGAAGGTCCAGACGTTGTCCAGAGACAGCCCTACCGATTGTGGGGCTTAACTTGGCAGCTTCTTAATTAACTATAACCCACAAATGCGTGAAAACCGGAGGGAAAAATGCGAGTCTCAAGAATGTTGGTCCACCCCAAGAAAACCTTCTCTGAATGTGGGGCTTCAAAGGAGAATCTTCCTGGAGACAGTCTCTTAGCTTTCCTCAGGTTTGGGCTGAGGTGGCACTGACTCGATTCCCCCTGTTTCTCTGTTCGGCGAGATAACAGATGTGTTAAATGTCCCATTCATCTCTTTAGTGTGGCTGAACCTCCCCAAAGAGAAGTGTGCAGCCCCGCCAGGCCGCCCTGATCCTATTAACCATGAACTAACTGTCACCTTCAGCTGGTTTTCCTTTTTGCTTTTTAACACAAAGCTTTCTCAAAAATCTTATTAACCAGCTTTATTTCTCTCGATGGTTTTGTTCGGGGCGTTTTGTGTTGATGATCTCCATGTCGCTGCTTTAACCATTCAATAAAAGTGCATCTGCGATTTATATCACATTAAACCAGAAACGGAGCCCGCTAAAACTCTCCCTTGATTCAAATTAAAAAGTTATTTAGGGCCCGGCTCCAGAGGCGAATTAATGCTAGAAGATGACGTAAGCGCGGAGTTTCTGAGCCCAAGACTGCTCTTGGTTATGAGCAGCGAGAGAAAACCAATCAGGAAAGAGACAACTTTTTTTTTTTTTTTTTTTTTTTGTTTTTTGAGACGGAGTTTCGCTCTTGTTATCCAGGTTGGAGTGCAATGGCGCGATCTCGGCTCACCGCAACCTCCGCCTCCTGGGTTCAGGGAATTCTCCTGCCTCAGCCTCCTGAGTAGCTGGGACTACAGGCACGCGCCACCATGCCCAGCTAATTTTTTGTATTTTTAGTAGAGACGGGGTTTCACCATGTTGACCAGGATGGTCTTGATCTCTTGACCTTGTGATCCACCCGCCTCGGCCTCCCAAAGTGCTGGGATTACAGGCTTGAGCCACCGCGCCCGGCCTAAGAGACAACTTTTAAATAAGGGGCTATTTAAATATGGGAACTGCCTTGCCTGAGTTAATTGGAGGCCCCCAGACAGAAGAGGGAGATCTGTGAAGAACGTCAAAAGTTCCTCTTTTTGAAGTTTGCAATAAAATAGGTGAAAAAAGTGTAAGCTATCTGAACACCTGAACTTTAACCTTGTCACGAGACAGCTTCCCACTGTCCCATACTATCCCTTCCTTTTTTCCTCAGACCCACCTCCCTCCTTCTTCCACTCCCTTTCCTTCTGCCCCCCACCTCTTTTTCTCCCCGCGTCTGAAGGACTTGGGCAATTGCCAGTTCCCAGAAGGATGCGTTGGGGGCTTCAGGGTGTTTGATTCCCTACCGGTGAAGCGCTTGTCCAAATCTTCTGGATGATCAGAATAGAGTCTCTATTTGCCAAAATAAACTTGAATTTTTTTTTCTTTTTTTTTTTTTTTTTTTTTTTTTGAGTGGGGAATGGTAAGAAGTTGAAGCCAGGGTGAGCTCTTCCCAGCGCCTCCTTCCCTGTTGGGGCATTTGCGCTGGTGTAGGGTGTAGTTTTCACTGTTTCCTGCCCGTTGACAGGCTTCCTGCCACCCCCAACCCCCTCCACAGGCCCTCACCATTCTGCCTCACTATAGACTAACTGCTACTAACTTCTCGGCTTTTAAAAGTCTGCCCTTCCATTTTTTGGAGGGTGGGTCAACCCCTTGCTGCGATCCACGTGGACCCCGCTTCCTGGGGTCGGTCTCCACCGCCTCTAAAGAATTCCTAAAGCGCCAAAGAGGAAAAGTGAGGGCGGGGGCGAGGGGGCGAGGGCTGGACGCCCTTGAAAAGGCAAAATAAATCCTAAGGAAGCAAGAAATCTGACGAAAGAATCTTACTTTAAGTGATCTCCTTGAACGCGTCTTTTCAAACTCCGCGATAGCCTAAGGGGCTGCGCGACGCCGCGGCTGCGACTAAGACCTGTGACTAATGCCATTTGACCTGAGCCCATGGGGTTTTGTGCGTCCTGCCATTCATTGTTACGTCGTTATCTTCAAGTTTATTTCGGAGAAATCACTTGCGTTCTTTGTCTCAAGGCTGAGCTTTCTATTTCTTTTTCAAGAGGAAAGAAGATGAGAGGGGAAAACAGAATCCGAGACCGGGGTTTGGGGTTTAAGGTCCTTGCCTACGCCACAGGCGCGACTGCTCCCTGGGGGAGGCAGCAGCAGATCCGGCTGGGTCTCCCCGGGCCTAGGTAGCCAGAGCTGCCGAAACCTCCCATGGATGGTAGAAAGGGCCTGTCGGAACGCACTTTGGGGATTTCTTTTCCCCAGAGCAGGGAAGAACGGGAGCGACCCTGACCCAGGCGCCGAAGGGGCAGCAGCAGCAGCAGAGCGCACGGCCCTCTCCAGTGCGGGCGGTGCCTGGAACGCCTAGAGTAAGAGAAGGTCAGCTAGAGAGGTGAAACGGACACTGCAAAGTAAAGAGTGGCCTGAGCTTCCCGGCCCTCTGAAAAGATGGCGAGTGTCCGTTTTGGAAAGGCTGCGACTCCAAGGTCACCCTTTGCAGGCTTCAGACCCCCGGGCTTCCACGCTCCCTTCCGGAGCTGCCAACTGAGTGAGAGCGAGTTTTTGTAAGATTGGCCGGATGCCGGGAGGAGGGAAAAGGGCCCGACGCTTGGTTTCTCCAGGCGCGGGGGGGAAGAGGGAGCTAACCGGCGAGGCGAAGGAGGTGGGCTGTGAGGCTGGGGCTGAAAGAGGTTTCCTACCGCCCCAGCCCCTCTTCGCAAGCCTCTCTATTAAGACAGCTCTAAGGGGTTCACCTTCAGAATAGGCCACTAGGAGCTACCGCTGCCCCAGCTCTTTCTAGTGTCTCCCCCCTCACCCCCATCCCTTTCACACTCACTCCTCTCTTTTTCCTTGAAAATCCTTCTATTGTGCCAATCAAGCAGATGGTTTGCAGGAAATATAGCTTGGCCTCGCTGACCGAAACTAATTTTAACTAGCTTTCCAAGCCCGAAACGTTTGTTTTGCTCTTACAAAATAGCCCCAAAAACAGCTGGCAAGGGTGAATTAAACCCATTAAAGACACATTTATAAGAAATTATATTCACATAGGTTGCCTGAACCCCCTTGTGCAGTCTAAGAGAGGAGATGAGCGCATTTAAATGAAAATATCGCAGGACGCTCCCCTCCTTAACATAGCCTGAAAGTCTCAAAACATTTTACTAAATAGATTAACTTGACTATTGTCTTGCATCACATTTATCAGCTTCATTAAGTGAATAGCTGAACAAATATATTACGCATGCATGAAAAGCTCTTTTTCCAGGAGTCTCATTGTATCGTCAGCCCTGACAGGTGGTTAACTGTGTGTTGTGTTTTTTTGTGGGGTTTTTTGGTGTTTTCTTTTTCTTTTTTTTTTTTTTTTTTTTTTTTTTTTTTTTTAACCCGAAGAAAGAGGATCTCTAGAGCAGCGCAGGGCTGGCAGTGCGGACTTGGAGAAAGTTTACTTCAACTCTCTTCTTGAACCCGCTCCCACTAGCCCCAGCAATATTAAAACCATGTTGGGCCAAGGAGATATGAGCCCACTCAAAATAATCAAAATTAAATTTTTGTAAGCCTAGCCTTGAGTGCTTTCTCTCTCCATCATTACCTCCGCCCCCTTGTCTGAGAAATCAATTTCATACCGCTCCTTTTTAAAGCTGAAGATTCCATCCCAGTCTCCTTGAAAATAAATTGCCATTGTTTCTCCTTGCTTAACCAGCTCTTCACAGACTGCAGGATTAAATATTCTTCTTTTTAAAAATAATAATAATAATAATAATAATAAAGAGTCTCATTTTGTTGTCCAGCCTAGTCTCCAACTCCTGGCCTCAGGTGATCCTCCAGCATCTAAATATTCTTTTAATTCTCAATTGAATCCATTTCACTTTATTGTATGTCTTTAGG